TATATTTAGGAGAGCTACTTCTTATTGGAGGCTGAACTCAACTAAATTTAGACAAGTCAAGGTCTAATACTACTTCCGGTCCTTTATATAAGAGTTAGATAACTAATTTGAGGAGATTAAGAAAATTAGTTATGTTAGTTATTTATAACAAATGTGTGTTGATTTTCTTAAATTGTCCTAATTCAATCATGTATACTAGACACTTGAGTGGAAATACTTTACAATCAATGGAGATATTTTTCAGAACATATTATAAATTTAGAAGACAAAGTGAATTGGAGTTTATATTTAGGACTGCCAGTTAACTCTTATATTTAGAATTGGAGGTAGTGTAACTTTAGACACTTGGCAGCTTGCATTTAAAGAAAAACTTAGCTTGCTCTGTTTTTTTTTTTTTTTTAAAACTCATATAAACATAACACCAACAATTCATACACGACAAAGTACAAGGTCTTAATACAGGTATCAGCTGACTGCTAATAGCAATTTCACTTTCCTACAGTGGTAAGCAGCTAAGAAAATTGTCTACTTTCGATTTTGATTTTGGATACAACAAGTAGCATCTATATTCAATTAGAGATATCAAACCTCTCATGAACTTGAGTTCTCCACAACAACGGCCAATAGTTTATACCCCATCAAGTGTACACGCTTCCAATTATCTGTTGATGTTAGAGATTTCAATGGTTTTGTCAGATATCTTACAAGTGCTCTATTGGAGGAAACTCTCATTCGACAACTATGGGAATTCTGGGCATGCTTTCAAGCTATTCATGGGATTCAAAGGTGGTGATAGCATTAGCAGCCTTTGCATTGAACTTTGGGGAGGTCCAGCTGATAACTCAGCTTTATACCACCAACTCTCTTGCGACGTCTATTGCTATGTTGAAGCATGTTCCTGAAACACAGAATCAAGAGGATATTCTGGGATTGCAACATAGGTATGAAGTGATCAGCAACATTGTCAAGGTCATGTTGGATCTGACCACTTGCATTTTGGCATTTGAGGAGCTCCCCTCGCAGTACAAAACACCTGACACGCCGCAGACGTTGGCTACCACCACTTTGGTTCCCATTGCTGTCTATTGGACCATTCGTGGTATTGTGGCTTCTGCATCACAAATTTCAGGCCTCCTGAGCATGAATCGGTATGTCTGTCTGGCCTCTCTATGAGAATCATCCTAAATTGCTCTTAACTTCCTTATATTTTTGCTTTGGTGATTTTGGAAATCAAACTCTTTTTTCTTTTTTTAATTAATTTCTGGATTGATGTTAGAAATATAGCATCAATGTCAGAGGCTTGGGAACTTTCTAGTCTGGTTCACAAGCTCAATAACATACACAATCACCTTCAGACTCAGCTTGCCCTTTTACATAAGCAGATGGGTAAATCTAATTCCTTATGTGGATTTGCACCACTTAAATGAATTCATCTATAACCGGGACACCTTTTTATCCTGGTGATGTTGGACATTTATGTATTAATGCAGATGATAACAAACAAACTGAAGCTTTCGAGACACTTGTGCGCCTTTTTGATGCATCTCACGCTGACAACTTGGAAATTCTTCAAGGTTTGTTTGACTTCAAGGATGATCAACTGCCACTCCTTGATTGTTCTACCAAGCAAAGGGTTAGACTTCAATGTAAATGCTATTTTGTCTGATATTTCCATGTGTCAGTGCCAACCTTCTCTATCTTTTTCCTCAGGTAAGCAGTGATGCATTGAGGAGTAAAATTGTGCTGCTATTCATATCAGATCTCGATCTCTCTGACCAAGAGATCATGATTCTTGGACATATGCATCTCGAGTCACGTGAGGAACCAGACATGTTTCCTATTCCATACGAAGTCGTTTGGTTTCCAGTTGTGAACAAGGCAACCCCATGTACTGAAGTGAAACGGAAGAAGTTGGAGGACCTACGATCAACAATGCCATGGTACTCAATTTATGATCCTTGGCAGATAGAGCAAGCAGTCATTAAGTACATTAAAGATATTTGGCATTTCAAGAAGAAGCCCATACTTGTTGTGTTGGACCAGCAAGGAAAGGTTGTCAACCTAAATGCTTTACACATTATGTGGATTTGGGGATGCTTAGCATATCCTTTCGCAGTTTCTGACGAGGAATCCATTTGGGCGAAACAAACATGGGGACTCCAGCTATTGGCAGATGTGTTTTGTCCATTAAGCTGGGTATGCGAAACAATTCATACTAGTACTTCATTAGGAAAAATGCAGAATATCTCCTTTCAACTAGGCTATTTGAAAACTGAGACTGATACTAGATGTTACATTTTCCAATTAAATGCAAATTCACAAATTTACTGGCTTAAACTTACTGGAGTGCAAACTTGTTTCAGATATCAGAAGGGAAATACGTATGCTTGTATGGAGGTGAAGATCTTGAGTGGATTAGGAAATTCACAAGAGGCGCATATGCTATGGCTGAGACTCTGGAAATCCCACTGGAAATGATATACATAGGGAGAAGCAATCCAGGGGAGAAAGTTAAGAAGAACACGGAAGCTATAATTTCAGAGAAGCTGAGCAGTACACTGGAGGACCTGACATTAATATGGTACTTCTGGGTTAGAGTAGAAAGCATGTGGCACTCCAAGTTACAGCAGGGGAAAACAGTAGAGAGTGACCCAATAATGCAGGAAGTGATGACAATTGTGAGCTTTGATCGAAGCGAGGAAGGATGGGCTGTGATGGGCAGAGGAACAGAGAAGATGGTGAAAGCAAAAGGAGAAACATTCCTGAAATGTGTTAATGAGTATCAGAAATGGAAGGACAAGGCAAAAGAGAAAGGGGTTTTGATAGCAATGGAAGAATATATACAAGAGCTAAGAACCCCACACCATTGTAATAGGTTGATAGTTCCAGGAAGCAATGGCAGAAGCCTAGAAGAAGTGACCTGTGCTGAATGTGGCCGTCCCATGGAAAAGCTCTTCATGTACCGTTGCTGCAATGATTATTGATTCAACTCTTAAATATAGGATCATACAAAGTCCAAGTAGTGTACTTTTTTGGATTCTCAAGACAGGTATATGCCTCAGTTATGCAAATTCTATAAATAACATACCTTTCTGTAAACTTTATGTTTTATTTTTTTTTATAATCTAAATTTTATGTTTTATATTAAATGATTGATATTGACACTTTTAAAATTTTTCACTCTTCATCATACATTCACACAATTTTTACCGGCGGTACTAATTCAATAATAAATGAGAAGTTCTCAAGAATTGGCCATACAAATATCTTGTCATGTCAATTTAACGTCACTGTGTGAATTGGGTAATCTTTGAGTATTAAAAGTTTCGTTTTCCCTTTTATTTTTAATTCAAGATATAAGTAGCTCCCAAACAAGTAATTAAAAAAAAAAAAGGAACAAAAGTTGCTTTCTGAAAAGCCTAATTAAATGTATAAGACATGTCAAGTTCTCATTCAAATCACTAAAAAAATAAAATAATTTTTCATTTATGATAATGTAACTTCTGGCGCTGTTTCATAATATATAATTATTTCGAAATTCATATGCGTAGCTGTCATTTGTGAATGAAAAGAAATGCTTGTATTAAAATATAAGTCAATCAGGAATAATGGTGGTGATGTCATATAAAAATGGAATAATCATATTGAGAAGGAGGATCGTTAAAAGAAATAAGATATTGAAACTTATGTCACAAATGACGGCATCCGATTGAAAAATAAGTAAATCAATTAATTATACTTATATTTCATACTCAATAATTTCAAAAAAAAAAAAAAGGTAGTCAGTCATAGGCTTTAATTTGGTAATCAGATTTCTTTAATTAATCGAATATGATTAATTAATAATCTATGTGCTGAGTTTAATAGCCCTGAACGAAAGAGACTCGATCGACGTTACTTTGTAGTGTCTGCATCAAAAGTTATTCACATAACAAGGACTAAAAATAAGAATTAATGTGTACGAAAGTACTCCTCCGATCTTAAATATAAGATCCTTATACTAGTGTGTATAAGGGTCTTATATTTAGGATCGGAGGAGTATTATTATTTGATATGATTTGGGGAAAAATTATTGTTAATTTGATGACAGTAAGCTATGATTATTTTGCATAAATTATATATACCGGGACTCATTTTGAGTCTTGCGACTTAGAAAATGACCCCCGGGGGGGGGGAACAGTACAAAGAATCAAGGCGCCAAAGAAAATAAGAAGATAGCTAGTGTACTAGTACTACGTCGTCTTGTGACTAACCATGGCCTCCTTAAAACTGATGTTAAAAGTCCTCTCTCACCAATGTTAAAAGGGCTAGTCAGTATATTACTTCTAGTTCTTAATATAAAAACTATATAACTAATTTATAAAAATTAAAAAAAATTAGTTAAGTTATTTATTTATAATAAATAAATGTCATTTTCTCTCAAATACTTCTATGAATCATATGCATTAGAATTACTTTTTTGTGAAAACGCTTTAACATATACAATCACCATAAAAATTACTTAGAAGCAAAATTGATAAATATTAAATGCATAGATTAAGGACCACACATAGTATATGAAATTGGCTACACACGTATATTATGCCAACAAAAAGGCACCAGAACTTAATTAGACTTAACTATTAATCAGTAGTCCCTTTGATCTTATTTATAAGCTTCAAATTCGAGAAGGGATGTTGTCTATTTTTAGAAGTTTCAATTTGAATTTTTCTTAACATTTAATGCATTTTTTTAAATATTGCTCTTAATTATTTCTCTCTTATCATATTTTTCTACACATTCTCTTTCATTTTTTTCTCATTTATTATAAGGGTATATATGAAAATAAAAATTTATTTCTAATCCATTTATTGTTTTTAATTAATTATTTTTTATCTATAAATTAATTATTTAAAGCTTATAATAAAAACGGGGGAGTAATTGCCAATAAAATTAGTAGTGACGGTGTTGCTCAAGTTGCCAAGTTGCACTTACAACCTCGCCCAACCTAATCCTCTATATCATATACTCTGTGTGTATACAACATATATACTGCTTCCAATCCATAATATAACTCATTTCAACTAATTTATCAGAATCAAAAAATGGTAGTCATGAACCCCTTAAATTTGCCTCAAATTGAACCCCCCCCAACTTTACTCATATCAAATGAGGTTGTAAGTGAGAGAGAAAAATATAGAGAGTTATATTCAAGCATTTAATTATAAGGACAAAATTAACAAATAAGCATTATTCACTCTTCAAGTCATTTCCTAAAGGCGATTGAATCAGAGGGAGTGTGTGTGTGTGTGTGTGTGTGTCAATTGTTTGTGGCGCAGGGATGAATAAGGAACAGGCTGGGTTGCTTGAATTGATGGACAACTAGAGCTCCACTTTAACTTCTGCCATTCACACGCAATATAATCAATGATAACGACATGCACGCATAACTATGCGTATATGAATAGTAGTATTACGATTATATATATACACAGATACGGATTTCAATCCCTTCCCTTTCAACAACGTTGAAAATGACATCTATCTAGCCTATGTAAAATACTACAAAGCTTTCCTCTCTTTTTCTTGGGTGCATGCCTGGAATTTAAGAAATTTCTGAGTTGAGATGCAAATATAATACGGAATTTCCCACTTGAAGTTGGATTTATGCCCATTTCTTTCAAACTCAATTCGAATAAACTAACGCATGTTTCTCATCTTTAGGGGAGTGAGGTTAATTAGTAGTGTGTGTGTATTCCCTCTGGTCCTTAATTAATATAAAAACTAATTGACTAATTTGAGTAGATTAAAGAAACTAGTTAAGTTAGTTATTTGTAATAAACAGGTATTATCTTTCCTAAAATATCCTTGCTAATCAAATATATTGGCTAGAACTACTATTATTGTAAGGACTACATTGGGAAAAAAAGATAAATATGAGAGACAAAGTGAATTGGAATCTTACGTTTAGAACCAAAATAAAAGTCAAGCAAGCCTTATATTAAAGACTGGAAGTAGTATATAAAATCCTATTCATCGACAACTTGTTGATGGAACTTACATTATATGCAGCGCGTCATATTATAGTTGAAGTTTCTGAATTAAGAAATGTACTACTTGCTAATGTCTTGCTTGTTTGTGAACATCAAAAAAGTGCATGCAAGTGTATGGGGGTGGATATGGATTCCACAATCTCTAGGTCATCAACTTTGGTTTGTATGATTTTATTATGTCTATTTGTTAATGTTGTTCGGATGTGTGTGGCTCTTGTTTCTTGTATTACTATTTGTTTTGTTATACTATATGTGTTGTATGACTATGACCTTAATTGAACGGGTAATGTGATGAGTCTTCTATGCTAGCTAATTCTTTTTCAACAAATTAGACTTTTATTAAAAAAATAATACTCCTCCGGTCCTAATTATAAGACCCAATTGACTTATTTGAGGAGATTAAGGAAGTAAGTTAAGTTGGTTATTTATAATAAATAAGTATTGTTATTCCTAAAATATCCTTGCTAATTAAGTATATTGGCTAAAATTATCATTATTAGAAGAATTATCTTTGAAAAAAATGTATAAATATAAGAGAGAAAATGGATTGGGTCTTATAATTAGGACTAAATAAAAAGTCAAATTGGGTCTTATAATAAGGACCGGAGAAGTACTAATTTGTGTTATGTTCATGATGTGGGTGAGTCCAAAAAAGACAACCCTCGTTAAAAAAAAAAATCATCTCATTTAACATGTAGATGTTTGGGTATGAGCTAATAAAGCCTCTAATAATTCTCAAGAGATTCAAGTGTGACTATCACTAATAAATGGTGTAGTTTAAGCGCATTATGCTCTAGATTTTTCAAGCTCTTCTTTTCCACTTCATTATTTGCTGATCTTCTGTTTAGTTATATATTTATATTTTTATTGTTTTGTTTTCCTGCTATTGATAGAAAGGGCTTTTTTTTCACTTTAATTTATTTTTTATTTTTTTGTCAAGTGATTCTAACAATTTGAGTACTGTTGGGGAAAAAAAAGGAAAAATCCAAAGTAAATTTAAATTCCACAGGGTTATGCTTGGTTGGGATCTTAGTTTAGCGACAAATGAAAGGATCAGAATTAGCTAGCCTTCTGTATATGAAATCTCTTTTCACTTAATTAAGTAATTAAGCCATAATAATAATGATATGGAATCTGTAAATCCTTATTTTCACGGCAGGCCATGTTTATCTATTATGACAAGTTACTTAACATCAAAAAAGACAAGCCAAAGTTACTTTTGGTTTATTCTTTTCTTTGTTTGCCTTGAAGTGGCTGGTAACAGTAGTTATATTCATTACCTCAAAGCAAAACTAACTTATACTATCCTAATTAAGCATAATAGTCAAAATGCAAAGAATTTTCACAACTACTCGCGAGATTGTGCAATTTACCGCTCTTATATAACTTTTGAAGTTGATAAAAATTTTGTTAATTTTGTAATTTTTTTAATAAATGTAACTTAGACTATTTTTTATGAACGTCTTAAATCTCCTTTAATATTATTGTTGCTCGTCAGCATCAAGCTTCATCAGTCACATGGTAGGAAATTCTAGTTATGATTTATTAACAAATGTTACGTCTATAAACTGTATCTCTGATCCTTAATATAAGAACTAGTTAACTAATTTAAGTAGATTAGTAAAGTTTTTTAAGTTAGTTATTTGTAATAATTATATGTTGTCTTTCCTAAAATACTATTGCTAATCATGTATTAGCTAAAACTATCATTTGATTGAACATTTAATATGTGTAATTACCTCAAGGAATGCTTTAAAAAAATAAATAAATATGAAAGACAAAGTGAATTGGGATCTTATATTTAGGATCAAATTGTCAAATTAGCTCTTATGTTAATGAATAAAGGTAGTATAATATATTCATGCATGGGGACGGCAAGTGACAGAAAATATATTAATCCCAGTTGGTATATAAAACTGAATAAGTAATTAATGAGAACATGAGAGAAAAATCAAGGCAATGGAAATCGTACTAATAAATAAAAAATTAATTAAAACTTAAAAAAATTTACGAGGTAATTAGTCAACTTATCGAAAATCAGTACATAATACAAAGTACTTAAGCCTTAAATTGAGGAAG